CTTTTCAGGGAGGCTTTTGGGATCACACTAGCGAAAACTGTCCTTAGCCCCTCCCAGGAGCAACTCATCTTGTTATCCTGTTTCATCTTCCTCAACGCATCTCACACTATCTGAAATTATGTCCAGCCTGTCTTTCTCATCTCCCATGCTACCACCCTGGTCCAAGCTATCATTATCTCTTGCCTAGATTATTATGGTAGCCTCTTCAGTCTCCTCGACTCTGCCCTAGCCCCCTTACCGTCTGTTCTCCAAACACAGCCATGATTAATTTCTAAGTTGGACCCTATTACTCCTCTGCTCAAAATCCTTCCACAGCCTCCCACATCAGAGTAAAAACCAACGTCTTTAAGGTGGCCCACAAGGCCCTACCAGGTCTTATCTCTATCACCTCTCTGTCCTCATCTCTTCCCACTCTCCCCGTTGCTCGCTGTACTCTAGCCACACTTTTCTCTGCTCTTCTTTGAACATGTCAGGGATGCACCTGTGTCACAGCCCTTGCACTGGCAGTTCTCTCCGCTGGGAATGCTCTTCCACCAGATATCTCCATGGTTCCCCGTATCATGCCCTTTATACCTTTGCTTAACTGTCACCTCCTCAGAAAGGCCTTCCCTGACCATGCTGATAAACCTCTGCTTTTCTTACTCTTTAACCTGTCACTCCCCAGTACAATATAAGCTACAAAAAGATAGTGATTTTTTTTGGTCTATATTGTTCTCTGCTATGTGCTTAATGCCTAGAACAGTGCCTGGTGCATTGAAGGCACCCCATAATTATTTATTGACAGAATGAACCAGTTTCATTTATTTGTCTTCTTTTTAGTAGTCTCCCTCTCCACTAGTTATATACAACTTGCTATTGAGCATGTGAATGTGACTAATGAGACTGAGGAACTACTGAACTTCAATGTAAACTTAAATAGATACAGAACATTTTCATCATTTCAGACAACTTTCTGGACAACAGGCTTTAGAATATAAGCTCCCAAAGGGCAGAGGTATTGTTTGCTTTAGTTGTTACTATGTTCTCAATGCCTGGCACAAACATTGTGTTCAAGCACTGTGCTCAGCTCAGTCGTACCTGCTGATAAGTGTTGGTTGCGATAATTGGACGGATCACAGGAGCTGCTGGGACCTGCATCGCTTCTACGGTGGGGACCGTGGGCACCGCAGGCACAGCAGTCGGGATGCCGGTTACTGGAGCCCCCAGAACTTCCTGCTCAAACCTGAGGAGGCAAGACCAACAACACAGCTCAGGACCTTCCATTAATTCTGAAACGTTGGGTACACCGCGATAGAGCCTTCACCCCTGCCAATCTCTTCTTACTCCCGCCCGCACAATCCCGAAGGTCCCATTTTCCCCATGATAGAGCCATATCGGGATAAATGCGGCCTGGAGGCTCCAGGGCTCGGTGGCTCTGACTCTGAGGGCTTTTATCGCGCCTTGCCAAGGGCCTTACAGGGCCATCTCCGCCTCCATCTCCTTCAGGCGTTCCTCTCCGCTCTTGCCCGGCATGCCGGCGCCGGGGCCCGGGACCACAGGTCCTCCTGCACCCGGGAGTCCCGGGGCTGGCCCCGCCCCGGCCATCGCTGCTGCCGTCGCTGTCGCCGCTACTACCGCCTCGGCTCAGCGGCCTCCACCAGTTCCGCTGTCTACTCTCTGGTCTTGTCGGGTTGGGCGCCCTCGAATGACGTATCAGCGAAAGCGACGGGCGCTGGTGCATGACATCATACGCCAACGGGGGGGGGGTCTCGCCTTCGGAGCAAGGCCAATGAGAATCTGGCCACACCTGGAGGGCCCACCCCTAGAAGGAATATAGACCAATCAGAGAGCGGGGAAAACAAACCAATGAAGAGCCTGGGTCTAAGTGCGTGAAGGCAAATGAGGTGGCCACGCCTTCATTGGAGGAACGAAGGCTAATGAGAGCGCTGTAAAGTAGTTGGCCCCGTCCCTACAGAGGAAACTGGGCCTTTGAGAGCTCAGAAAAGTTTGGAGGCCCCGCCTGTGCCACTGAAGCTCGTTCCGGAAGTTTTAAAATGCATCGAAGTCCGCGTCAGCCCAGGGATGTTTGAGGCTGGAGACTGCTGAATACCGTAGCCTTCCCAACTGGGATAGACTGACACCGGTGACTCCCAGAAAAACCAGGAACAGGATGTGGGAAGCTCATAGGGGGCGCCTGACCTTCTCCAGGAGGAGAAGGTAACAACCTGACGACTTCTTGCTAGATGAAAATGGAGAGAGATGGGAGGAATCGTAAAGGCCTAGAGTAGTAGAATGCGGCAACTCAGAAAGTCGTGTGTAGGTTTGGTCTCTGTGTCCTTTCTTGGGACACAGCTGACCCCTCCTTTTCTTCCTAGTCCTCAATAGGTTTCATTATGAATATTTAAAATACACAACACTAGAGAAGAATATAACGAGCTTCCATGTACCTCTCAACAATTACTAATATTCTGCCTTGTTTCATCTATACTTCTCCTCCCTCTTCTTGTTGGAGTATATTAAAGCAAATTCCAGACATCAATTCCTCCACAAATACTTCATGATGTGTGTCTTAACAGATAAGGCCTCTTTTCACGCCCAAGAAAACTAATTTCTGATTTCGTTCTCGGATTTCGGTGCGCGCGCGCGCACACACACACACACACACACACGCACACACACGGGGAAAAAAATAACTTTTTTGGTGTCATCTTACACCCAGACTGTTCAATTTTCTCTGCCTCAAAAAATTTGTACAAAATCAGGCTACAAATAAGGTATGCACATTGGGTTTGATTGGTTGGTCGGTCTTTTTTTTTTCTGTCAAAACTTTTGTTGGCTGTCTTGGTTTCTTGAAGTTCCAAGATTAAATCAGCACTAATGAATGATTTGTTAAAATACTGGCTTTTGTTTGCTTCTTTACAATAGATGTGATAAGAGAATAGGACGCTTTTTCTTTTTTAACATTATCATTAACTAGAGTCCATACTTTGATTTTCTTAGTGTTTAAGCTTTTCTGTTCGTTCATTGCATCCAGGATACATTGCATGTAGTTGTCATATTTTCTTAGGCTTCTCTTGCCGGTGACAATTTTTCACACTTGTTTTTCATGAATTTGTTAGTTTTGAGGAGTACTGGTCAGGTATTTTGTAGAATGTTCCTCGTTTGGGATCTGCTATTTTCCTCATCATTAGGCTCGGGTTATGCATTTTGTGGGGGTGAGGGGAAAGGCTGCAGAAGTAAAGTGAAGTTCTCGTCATGTCGTATCAAAGGTACATTTTATCAACATGACTGTTGGTGTTAACTTTGATCTCCCAGCTGGGGTACCATTTGTCAGGTTTCTCCACTATACTTTTCTTTTTACTCCCTTTCCATGCTCTTTGGAAGGAAGTCACTATGCCCAGCCTACACTTAAGGGGTGGAGAGTTAAATTCCACCTCCTTGAGAATGGAATATTTGCATAAATTATTTGTAATTCTTCTGCACAGGAGATTTGTCTATTCTCCTTTTATTACATCTTTTTTATCAGTATGGACTCATATTTTATACTTTGGGTTGTAATTCAGTATTACTTTATTTTGTTGCTCAAATTGTTCCAATTTTAAAATCTTAAGTCTTGGGGTGTCTGGGTGGCTCAGTCAGTTAAGCCTTGGACTCGTGACTTTGGCTCAGGCCATGATTTCAAGACTCGTGAGTTTGAGCCCCACATTGGGCTCCACACTGAGATTACATAGCCTGCTTGGGATTCTTTCCCTCCTGCTCTCATTTGCACGCTCTCTCAAGATAATCTTTAAAATCTTGTCTTTTAGTCTATAAATTTCCCTCCCTCTGCCTTTTTCTACCTTCCTTCCTTCCTTCTACGCTTTCCTTCTTTTTCTTGTTTTTATGTTTTCATCAGTAATCCCCCTTACTGCATCTGGATTTTGAATTATATTTAGGCAAGTTTGCCCAACTTCTAGTTTATAGAGAACTTCACCTTCATGGAACTCATATTCTGTTTGGAAGACAATAAAGGATAAATAAAGTAGAACATAAAGCATATTAGAAGACATACTACAGAGAAAGATTAAGCAGGGAGGGGGGGCAAGGGCCCCCCGTGTTCAGTCTTGGCTAAGAGCCAAGACGAAGAGAGGAGGGGAACACTAAGGTGGCACATTGTAAAGCAAACATGTTAAAGACACAAAGATGTCAAATCTCCCTCATTTGTAAACTCCCTGCAACCCCGATAAAACCCCCATCTGTGTATTTTTTCTGGAACCAGGTAAGTTGGGTATAAAGTTTATTTCATTTTGGAAAAAAAATTAGCAAGAGGGAAACCTTGAAAAATTAGAGCAAGACAGCAACCAGCCATTTCAGATACTAAAACATTATTTCAAAATCTTTATAATCAAAACACTGTGGGGATGGCATATGAGAGTCAGACAGACAATAGGCTTGGAGAGAGTCCAAATATAGCCTGATTAATCATGGAAACTTAGCTTATGAAGAGGTGGCATCTCAGATCACCTGAAGTTTTACTTTATATAGGTGGGTAGTTTTACTCTATAAATTGAAGAATAATTTACAGTGAAATGCACAGACCTAAAAAGTATAGCTAGATGGGTTCTGACACCTACCCTTATTACCTTCAACATATAATCCACTTCCAACTCTACAAAGTTCCCTTGTCTCCTCCTTGGTTGATCCCTGCTACCCACCTCTCCTTCAGAGGCAACAACTGCTCTGAGAATTTTAAGAAGTGCTATTGGGATACATGTAAAATATGACAAAATTGGATCCATTTGGATAAATTCCAAATGACTTCAGAGATGTAGATGTAAAAAAAGGAAACTACATAAAAACTAGAAGACAACCCCCCGCCCCCCGCCCCTGCCCCGTCTCCTTGACCCTCACACTGGCATGTTCGAGCTCAGGACTGTTGCTAAGCTGCAACCTCCCTCCCACCCCTGACCCCCACAAGCCCTCCTCAGACACCCACATGCTTCCCTCTCATTACCTTTACAGAGTGTGTGTGGCCTTCTATGTAAAGTTGCACCTCTTTACAGCTTGCTTTATTTTTCTCCAGAGCAGTTACCTCCCAACATACTAGATATTTTGCCCACTTAACTTGCCAGGGGTCCATTTCCCTGTCCTAGAATAACAGCTTCCTGAAGTCTGGGACTTCTGTCCATTTCGTTCAGTGCTGGATTCTCAGTGTTTAGGGCAGGTGCTCAATGACGTTTTGCTAAGGGTGAAAGTGATGAGGGTAGTTTCAGGGGGACTTAGGGTGGGGTCCAGATAACCCACTGCCTTGGCTTTGATGGGATGAAAGGACAGGTGCAAGGCAATCGAGAGGAATAGAACAGCCTGTGAGGGGAACAGCAAGTGTGGGTAGAGACGGTGGGTTGATATATCTGGGCGATGTTCCCTTCCAAAGGTCTTACGATGGGGTGAACAAACGAAGCTCTTGAGTTCTGTTTGGGCCCCCTTTTCATCTGCACAGTTGTTGCAGGATGCCTTGGGCCTGGACCCAGCGCAGCCGCCACTGGGGCAGGGACAGGCCCTGGCGGAGCTCCCCGGACAGGGCGGCTTGGCCTGGCTGCTCCCACCTGGGGAAAGGAGACAGTGTCACAGGGAAGGCCCGGGACTCTAGACACTCAGTGGCCTCCACCCCCCCCCAACACCTCCTCCCCTGCGTGCACCCCCAGGTCCTGCCCGGTCCACCCAGCTCAGGACCCTGCCCCCACCATCGTGGCCCCCTCTCACCAGTCCCCAACAACCCCCTGTAGCTCGGGGATTCGCTCCAGCGCTTGTTTCAGCAGGTTCTCCAGCTGCTTCAGAGCCTGTCCCAGATTCTCTTTCTGCTCCTTTTCCCGAGCTGCCCGGATCTGCAGCAGCTCTGCAGGTGAGAAACCCAGGAGGCAGTGCTGAGTCCTCTGGCTCCTGGGGTCTCACAGCCAATGGGTCACCAAGTCTCCAGTCACCTAGTGTTGACCTCACCTCTCCCACACCTCTCCTTCCTCCCACTTCCTCATCTCAAGGGTAAGCCCACCATCCCCCAAGCTTCATCCCAGATACCTTCCTCCCTCCAGGACAGACCATCAGTCTTCTCGGCCCATCCTTCAGCTTCCTCCCCCTTCCCCCCTTCCCTACTCACCCCCCAGCCTCCCTCCTATGCTCCAGGCCTCAGCCTCCAATTCTGGTCCGTGCCTCTGGTACATGGCAGCCAGAATGATCTTCCTAAGGCATAAACCTGATCCTTTCCCTCTCCTGCATGGAACCCTCCAAGGCCCCCCAGTACCCCCAAGAGAGAGTCTGAGCTCCTCAGGCCAGTACTTGAGGGTTTGCACTATGTGACCTCTGCTACTATCAGCCCTCGCCTATCCCTCTGGGCCCATTCGAGACACCACTTTCCCCCTGGAAGCCCTTCCCAGCGTTCCCCACCCCGAGGCTTCCTCCTCAGACTGCTGTAGGTTCACTCCAGCAGTGTTGCCCTGGAGACTATGACTGGGTCTAGTCCCTCTCCATAGGCCCAAACAGGCCCATCTCAGAGCAAGTACAGATCAGCATTGTGGTCAGAGCCCTTGGGCCTGAATCCTGACTCCATTCCATCGTTGCCTTCTGACCTCAGGCATGACATGTGCCCTTTCTTCAGCCACTTCTGTAGTCAGGTGTAACTGAGCCACAGGCTAGCAGGGCAGGCTGCAGACTGGGGCACTCTGAAGGAGGACCTACAAGGCTTGTTGACAGGTTGAAGGTGGGGGGGCGGCTTAGGATCCTGGGAGGAATTAGGATGACTCGTGGATTGCTGACCTCAGTAAGGAGGGTGAGGTCACTTTTTGAGGGAAGGAAACCAGGCAGAAGAAAAACAAAACTGCTTTTCAGAACAGGGGGAACTATGCTCTGTTACAGACATGCTAAAGCCCAAGATGCCCATGAGGTGCGACGATGCTGTGCCAGTCTTAGGCTGCTCCCGACACAGCTCCCTGTCACTGGAGGGGGAGGCAGGGAGCCTGAAACTCAAAGGCCCGAAAATGACCTCTTCCTGCTTTGCTGATGGCACCTCGGTTCATTTCTCATCAATACACCTCTTCCACCTATTTATCCTTTGATTCTGCGCTCTTTGCTTCTACCACTGGGATCCCTGGGGCTGGACAGCTCGGGCGTCCTCTCCCCAGTGAGCTCTGGGGGCCAGTAGCAACCCAGCAAGTGCTAGCTGAGGGAATCTAGTGATGAACAACTTTTCTGAGTTTCAGTATTTTCATCTGTAAATTGGTCTTAATAATCTCTACCCTTATGGTAAGGACTGAAAGAGACTCCACATGTGCAGACAAAAAGATCGCAACCACACCAGAGACGCATAGCGCTTACTGTATGCTGTGCATTGTTCAGTGCCCTGTTTGGGTAACCGGACTGAGTCTTTGCAGCAACTCTGTAAGGTGCTATGATTATGCTTACTCCACTGAGGAGGAAACTGAGGCACAAAGAGATCACACAGCAGGGAATAGGTAGGGCTAAGAAGAGTTTAACTCCACAGCCTAGCTTTTAACTACTCAAATATCCTATTGGATGGTGATACATGAGAACTTTGCAATTTGATAGGCAGTGTCACCTGGTTAGGAGTACAGACACATGTCAGACTGCCTGGATTTAAATCCTAGCTCTGCTACCTAAGCAGCCACCAAGGCCTCCTGTCTTAGTTCTTGCCTCTGTAAATGGGGCAAATGGCAGTGCTAACCCCATGGGGCTGCTGTGCAGATGAAACCCGTGAACATGCTTAAAGCTGACTCAGCACACAGTAGGCACTGTGTCAGCACTGAGTGTTTGTGATTTCTTCTGGAGGCTGATGGCCCTGGGAATGGGCAGGAATGCCACTTGTGAAGGCAAGGCCTTACCCTGGGTGGATGGTCCTGGGGGCAGGCTGGTCTTCATGTGGAGCAGATCCCAGGACCGGAGACTCTGCTGGTCCTGGAGAAACAGAAGTTCCTGACGAAGAGAGGCAGCCTTTGGGAGGAGCAGTTCTGGAGCCTGGAGGGAGGGGGAAGGACAGTCATTTTGGGAGGGGGTAGGAGTGGGAAGACAGGTCCTAAGGGACAGAAACTCACCTTCCCTGCAGGCAGCCCCAATCTGTGGCTCAGCACTATGAGGCTGGAGCTCCTTGGGGACGTGGGATGCAGCTGGTAGATGGATGGCAGGACCGTGGGCAGGGGCTGTAACCTGGAGGGAAAGTCCAGGTTGGGTGGGGCACTGGGAGGAGGCTTGGGTTCCAGAGGTTCCGGGGGCTGAGAGGTGGGCTCAGGAGGCCCAGGAACTTGGAGGTGGGTCTGGGGACTAGGATTCCAGAGTTAGGACTGAGGACTTGTGGGCGAGGTCTGGCAGGTTGGGAACACTGGGGGCCTGGGATTATTTTTTTGGAGTAGAATCAGGGAGTGATAGTCATCGGTGGGAGGGGATATAAGGGGTGGCTCCAGTCTTACCCTCCAGGGCTGTGCCGAAGCAAGGTGTCCAACAGAAGGTGGGGAAGATGCCGGGCTTCCTCCTCCAGACAATGAAGCAGTTTCTGGGACTGTGGTGCCACCGCTTCAGATGTGGGGACCACTTTTCGCTGAAGCAGAGCCAGTACCTGTGGGGAAGGAAAGGGATGGGAAGGGCAGCCTGGAGCCACCCAGCCCCATCTGTAGGAGCCCTAGCCCTACTCAGACCTTGCCTCAACTCCCGTCTCACCTCTGCAGGGCTCCGGCACAGGCGCGTCTTGCTGGCTGAGTTGCCTTTGATGAGCAGGCGGATCTGTTCCTGTGTCTCCTCCTGGGTAACCATGAGGCCACTGAGATGGGCTGCTTTTACTTCCTACCTCCCAGCTTCTGGCCCTGCCTGCCCCTTTGTACAGGTCCTGCTTCCTCTTGGAAGACTCGTCGTGGGCCCCTCCCCACCACCAGAGGCCCAGTTCTGGATCCTAAGGCTCCCAGCCTCTCTCTGGCCCTCCATGCAGCACTGCCACTTCCCCTGAGGCCCGCCTCTCACCACCAGCCGGCGCCAGTGCAGGATCCGTTGCTGTTTGGCCTGTAGCTCCTGTAGCAGAAGCTGCCGGCGCCCAGCCACCTCCTCCAGCTCCTGGCTCTGAGCACGCAGGGCCTTGAGCTCTGCCCACAGGCCACAGCCTCGGAGTCCCAGCACCAATGCCTGCCTGGGGCGCAAGCAGAAGAGAGCAAGGGAGAGGAAGGTGACTAAGACTCATAGTGGAAGAGGGAAATCAGATCTATGAGGATGCACAAGGAGCCACAAACACGGAGACAAACCAGAAGAGCAGGGAGGCAGAGCTGGGAGCCACAGGGGCAGAAAATGTCCAGTATTCTGAGACTTCTGGGAGAGAGATGGCCTAGAGTCTCTGCTGAGAGAGCCCCCTCACCTCTCGCTGGATTCCAGGGCACATTTCTTCACCTCCTCCATCAGGCCTTGGAGGCGCTGGGTCAGGATTTGATGCTCCTTCAGCAGGGGGCCCCGCTGTGCAATCAGCATACCCACGTCCCGCCAGCCCTCCTGGGGCAGGGGTATAAAGTCAGGGTGGGTATGATCCCTGGGGGTGAGGGGATTAACTGGGGCTTGGGATAGGAAGGAGATGGAATCCTGGGAAGGATGCCTGGGGGTCACCTGGATGAGATGCACCATGGACGGCAGGGCCCGGCTGGAGTCTGGCTGGTCTGGTGCTTGGGACCTGGAGGTGGGATAAAACTGCTGAGGGAGGAGCCCTCTCCCCTTCCTGAGTTCTCAGGGATGGCCGATGTCAGCCCACCTGCCAGACTGATCATGGGGCTTCAGCTCCATCCCCATCAGCAGGTGACTGTGCCTGGCCCTGAGTCTTCCGGCTTAGCCATCCCCTGGCCCTGCCCCACCCTCAGGAGCACTCCACTTCACACCTGGTTATCTCCGTATCTTGGAGCCCATCTGGACTGCACAGGGACCGAATCTCTGCCTCCCGCTCCTCAGCCAGGTGCTCCAAGGAGGCCAGGATGTGGCCCGGAGGATGGTTTGTCAGTAGTGTCTAGTGGGGGAAGGGTACAGTAGGGCTGGATGGGTGTAGGGCTGTGAGCTAGGACCCATGGTGATGAGGCAGTGATCAAGAGTTAGGTTCTGGCACCCTGAGGTTCGCTCTTGGGGCAGAAGGTGTGGCCTTTCCTGAAAGCCCCCCTCACCTCCACTGAGCTAAGCCACTGCTGGTAGGAAGCTCCAAAGTGGTCATCTCGAGGGGTTCTGCAAGGTTAGGGAAGGGGACAGAGAATATTACAAGATCATGTCAACACTCCCTCTACTGATTACCACTACCCCTAAGGTGTGGGCTATTTTAAGCGGTCCCTATTTTAAGGATGAGGAAACCAAGTCCATCAGGATTCCATGCCTCCTAGACTTGAGTTCCCTGCTTATACCAACTAGCTAGACTTAGGGCCTTTCACATGTGCTATTTGTCTAGAATACTCTCTTAACCTTTTACCCTCGCTAAGCCTCCTTACCAGAGAATCTGTCCTCCCTGACTCCTTAGCTGAGTAGTGTCTCCTTTGGATACCTGGAGTTTCTCAGGCTTCCCCGCCTCCAACATCCCTAACCACCTGGTTGTCACTATCTGTGACGGATTTGTCTCTTCCTTGTCCCAGCCTGGGAGCCGTCAGGGCAAGATCTGCAGCTGACATAGTCCAGAGGCTCAGTGGCTGAGGAATTAACAGATAAGTGACTCCCCCCTCAAAGCCCAGGTTCTTGGCAGGGTCTGTGGGGCCTGGATGACACTCACAGGATGCTGCCTCCCTTGGCCTGAGGAACTAGGAGGTTCTGCAAAAATTGGGTCCGGAGGGTACAGGCTGTTCGGACATCACCCTGGGAAAAAGAGGATGGGGCATGAGAGGAACCCAGACTGACCCACCCACCCACCTGACCCCAGACTCTCCACCTCTTTCCCCATGGCCCAGGACTCTTACCAGGACCACAGGCTCCAGTCCCAGGGATGCTGATGATAAGGGTCGAAAGGTTATATCTACTGTGGCCTTCCTGGAGAGAAAAATACAGTTGGGGTGGGGGTCCCTGGGAGAAGAGAGCTAGGAGAACAGATATCTGTGTCTCCTCCTGCTGCAAGGCTAGTCACAGGGATCAGTGAGCCTGGATCTCAGGGGCCACCTCTAAAATTAGACCACTGTCATCTGGCTGTATTAGCTTCCTCACTGGTCTCTGCTCTTGGCTCCTGTGGTCTGTTTCTATCTAGTAGTTAACGATCCTGCTAAAACCTGACACGTCATGTCACCTTTCTGCCCCAAACCCTTGAAAACAATGTGTTTTCCCACCACATTCAGAATAGCAACAGTGGGTATCAGAAACTCTTTTAAGCATTCTGTGTGATTTGACTCATTAATTATCATACTTACCCTATACAGTAGGTTTAACATTATCCCCATTCTACAGTGCTTACAAACTGAGGCACAGAGAAGTTAAATCATTTGCCCAAGTTCATAGAGAAGTGGACAAGCTAGGGCATGAACCCAGCCTCAGAGTAAAATTCCGATGCTTCCATAGCACTCTGTCCCTGTCTCTGACCTCATCTCATGCTCTCCCTTTTGCCTGTGTAACTTAAGCTAAATTGGCCTCCTGGCTGTTCTTCCCACATGCCAAGCTCAGCACCTCTGCTCTTGGTGCCCCTCTCCATGGAGATTCCTCCCCCAACACAAATGGCACCTTCTCAGAAAGGTCTTTTCTGACCATCCTACCTAGAGTAGCATCTCCCTCTCCCGTTGTCCACACTACCCTTTTTATCATAGCATTTATGTCTCCCTGCAATTATAGAGTTTGCTTCCTAATTTACCATCTCTCTCTTCTGCATCAGAGTATAAGATCCATGAGGGCAGGGACTTATCCCTTATTTACTGTTCTTTCCCCAGAACATTCCCTAGGTATACAGCTGGCACCATTCTAGGCACTGGAAATGTAAGTGGCTAAGGTGACAAAATTTCTTGGCCTCACAGACTTTAAATCCTAAGGAGTGGAGCTCAGAATTGTGGAACCCAAGAAGGGGTCAGGGTCTCTAAGGAAAATGTCTGTGCACCTGGCCTGGTGAACGCTGGTCCCTGGGAACCTGAGGCCTACCTCTCTATGTCCTGCAGACGCTTCAATTGATTCTGTAGCCGCTGCATGGGATCTTGAAGCCCACGCTGCTGTCTTCGCATGGCCCCAGCTTGGGCCCGGAGGAGGAGAGCACGACGCTGGGTGTCTTGAATGCTCTGTAGGGCCTGCCCCATGGCCATGTCTGTAAGAGAAATGGGGTGACCATCAGCACTGCTGCTCATCTTCTCAGCCCCGTAGGTCACCCTGAGCCTCAGTCTCTCGCTCCATCAGCTCCAGGCTGCTCATCTTCCCAGCCCCATAGGTCACCCTGAGCCTCGGTCTCTTGCTCCATCAGCTCCAGGCTCTGGTCTAACTCCTGGATCTCTGCCCGCAGGCGAGCAACAGTGGCTTCCAGCTCCAACTTCCGACGGGCCTGGTGGGATCAGGTACAGAGTCAGGTGCATGGCCTGGCTGGGGCTTGGCCTGGCTGCCCTTTGTGGAACACCAGTCTCCTCACCTGCACAGGTAGGTGGCAGGGGTTTTTTCCTAAGCAGTTTCTGTGTCTGATTCTCTAGGCCCAGAAGAACACTAGGGTACCATCTGTCTTCCTCCTTCCTCCTGGGATTGCCTCACCTATCCTCTTAACCTGTTTCCTGTCTCTGCACTGATGACACTACAGCTGTGCCCTAGTTCTCATCTCCCCACGAAGAGCCAAATCTACGAGTCCCAAGGTCTTCTGGAATCCTCCCCCAGATGTCACCTGGGCCTCTTGCACACAATAGGTCCTCCATTGGCCTCAGTATATCTCCTAAACCAGTCCCTTCTCCCATCTCCCCTCATCAGCTTTGATGCCTCATATCCAGGTCCCCTCAACATCCAGCTCATGCCTGTCTCCCCTGGACTGTAAGCCCTGAGTGTCGAGATCAGAGCTGGCAGATCAACCCAGCGTCCCCAGCATTACAAAACACGAAGCTGGGCCTAGAGCAGAAATCTACAAATCCTCTTTTTGGATGGAAGAAAATCTTACAATACATGCTTCTCACCTCTGGACTGTCCTGGTGGCCATACCTGAGGAAATGAGGCCAGAGTTAGCGGGTGACGGGACTTCCAGGGGGAGACAGGAGGTGTGAGGCTACGGGTGAAAATACAGCTGGATGGGAGTAGGGAAAATAGGAAGGAATAGCTTTTAGAACCAGTTACCAAAGTAAGTTTCCTCGGATCTTCTTGACATTCCTACAGTGGAGAGGTAGAAGGAAGAAGTGTTACTGTGAGGTTTGCCTGTGTCCCCTCCCCTGTCACAGCCTCCCTCATGCAGCCAGGCTCACCTCTGGCTATGCACATGCCGCAAGACATAGGCCCAGATGTCGGCCCCCTGGCCCAGACACAGTCTGTGGAGACAGTGTGTAAGGGTATGCCTGGGGCATCACAACGGTTGGGGGATCCTTATTCCCAGGGTGGCAGTGGTGGGGAAAGTCTTTACTAGGGAATTGTCGCTTCTGGGGCGAATGGGGATGTGTCCACAGTCTTTGGGGTGAGATATTCCTTCCTGGGGAATTCTTGGTCACTGAGTTGTGGGCTTTTCACTGGGTGTGGATATTCTCACTCCCTGGGGGGGGGGGGGGGCGTGTGCGGAGATTCCTTTCTCTGGGAGAGGGCTATCGCTGGTCACTTCCAGAGGTGGGAGTGGAGAGTATACTGCCAGGAACTGCTCTCTCATTACCAGATATGGATCATCACCCTTCTAGATTCAGTCTCCAGTGGGGTGGTCTTTGCTGACCTGGAGTCTCCTCAATGGCTTGGGACGGTAGGGGTGGTAGGTGCTGTAGGGACAGTCTTGCTCCAAAGATCTCACTTCTACATAGTTTGGGGGCTTTACTAACTCTCAGAGGATCCTCACTGGTGCCTCGCCCTCACTCTGGGTGGTCTCACGGGGTGGGGGGTGGGGGGTGGGTCTTCACTCAATCCGGGATCCTCTTCCCAGATATATATTACTGGGTGTGTGGGTGGGTAAGGGGGACGCCCTCGGGGGTTATTCTCATTGGGGCAGAGGTGGGGAAGACGAAGGAGGGTCTTCGGTGAGGGGTGGGGTTCTCACCCCCGGAGACTATCTCTAAGGTATGGAGTCCTCACTGTCAGAGCGTCCCTCACCTGCGCAGAGTTGACTCCGGGGCCCGGGCTGCCGCGGGCGCCCCCATCTCTTCCGCCGCCCAGCAGCCCAGTTCCCGCGCTTCCTGCACTAACTCCATGTCAGCGCGCCGCGGCGGCCGCTTCCAGCACCCTCTTCAAGTGTGGCGCCCGCCTCTGGCGTCACGGGCGCGCCGTCAGTGACGCCATCGGTTGCCAAGCAGACTGGGGCCTCGCGGCTCTTCAGCGTCGCGGAGCAGTCCTGCGTGTCTGGCTCCTCCTGGATGGGTCCCTTCGAGTGAAGACGAAAGGGGTGTGGAGAAACCGTGAGGCCTCTTCGCTTCCGGCCTCCTCCCGCTCACTACCAAGTGTCCCCAAGAGGCAAAAGGTCCCAAATGCCTCCCTCGATTTTCTTGACCAAATGGGACTTTCATCCTTGGAGGTCAGGTGCGGAGATGCCAAACTTATGCTTTTTGATTTCAGAAACAGAGTGTTTCCGGTCTGAGGGATAGGGGGCCGATAGCAGGACCCTAATATTTCCCTGGCATGCATTCTTCCAGGTATTCGTTCGTCTTTACCATTCCATAACATTCGTGAGCCGACGCTGCCAACCCTGCCCTGGCGACATCGCGGTGGAGGAGACTGGTCCAGTCCCATGTGGAGCTCACAGTTCAGTGGGGGAGTTAGAGCCTCACCACCACCAGGTAGGGATGGTAGAGTATAAGCTGCAGGACTGGGTCAGTTGGGGACACAGGGAGTGTGCGAGGTCTGTCGCCCGCCCCTGAAAGCACAGGATACTGGGGCTGGGTTTCTGGAGAGCCCACTCAGCCTCAGACAGGCCCCCGAGGAATGGCAACATTCAGGGACCTTTTACCGAGCATGCATGCCCAGCTCACTACTCTGTCCTCGGTGTCCAGTATAAAGCCTAAGTCTCTAAGTAGTTATTCAATAAACAAATGAGGGGAGAGGTGGTGGGGTGAGAATAAAGCTGGGGACTGAGGGACGAGGGTGGGGCAGGATGAGGTGTGGGGGTCGAGGGCAATGGTGGGTGAAGTAGGGATGCGGAGAAGAGAGGAGGACACTGAGTGGGTCATGAGACTGATTGGCTGTAGAGGGCGGGGTATCCAGGGTGAGGTCCCAGCTCTGGGCTGGGGATTAGATGGAGCAGACCTTGAAATGCTGATGTGAGAGAAGGGACAGCTTTGGGGGAGATGCTGATAACAATGTGGGTGTGAGGAGTTAAGGGGACATCCAAGGACTGGCTGAGTCACTGGCCCAGGGACAAGGGGACATGGCACCACCACTGAGATAGCACATTTCGGGGAGAAGCTGAGACCAGCTTCTAAGTGCTTCATAAGGGCTGAGAAGCAGAAGGGGGTGCCAGGGGCTGATGTAATCCAGGTGGGTTTCCTGGAAGAAAGATTAGCAGCTACTACTCCACAATGCTTAATTCTCAAAAGGTGCCGTTTCTCTCAAACATTGCCACCCTTCTGCCTTTTGTAGGGTGTTTTGCTATTAAAAAACAAAATCAATTAGCATGTCTGCCATTTGTCTATGAGCCTTTCCAGGGGCTTTAAAAAGTACTGTCCAAATGTCCATCGACAGATGCATGGATAAAGAAAATGTGGTATATATATACAATCGAGTATTACTCAGCAATCAAAAAGAATGAAATCTTGCCATTTGCAACAACGTGGATGGAACCAGAGGGTATTATGCTAAGCAAAATTAGTCAGAGAAAAACAAATATCATATGACTTCACTCATGTGGAATTTTAAGATACAAAACAGATGACCATAAGGAAGGGAAGCAAAAATAATATAAAATAAGGAGGGGGACCATATATGAGACTCTTAAATACAGAGAACAAACTGAGGGTGGGGGGATGGGCTAAATGGGCAAGGGGCATTAGGGAGGACTCTTGTTGGGATGAGCACTGGGTGTCATACCTAGGGGATGAATCACTGGAATCTACTCCTGAAATCATTATTGCACTCTATGCTAACTAACTGGGATGTAAATTAAAAAATAAATAGATGAAATTTAAAAAAATTTAAAAAAGAAAGTACTGGTTGTTAGGAGAATGAAAAGATAAATCACAGACTGGCAGGAAATATTTGCAAAACACATACCTGAAGATGGACTTGTATCCAAAATATACAAAGAACTCTTAAAACTCAACCATAAGAAAACAAATAATCTACTTAAAAATAGACAAAAGTTATGAACAGATATCTCACCGAAGGAGATGTACAGGTGGCAAATAAGCACAAAAAGTTGCTAATACCATGTCATTAAGGAATTGCAAATTAAAACAATGAGATAACTCTACACACCTATTAGAATGTCTAAAATCCATTTAAAAAAGTGGTACCAAATGCTTTCGAGGATGTGGAACAACAGGAATCTCATTCATTGCTGGTGGAATGCAAAATGATACAGCCACTTTGGAAGACGATCTGAAAAGATCGTCTGTATGACTACAAATATATAGCATTCTAGAAAAGGCAAAACTAGATCAATGGTTGCCAGGAGATCATGAGGTGGGGGATAGGGATGGAAAGGTGAGGCTCGGCATTTTTTTTTTTTTAAGTTTATTTATTTATTGTGTGTGAGAGAGAAAGAGAACACAAGCGGGGTAGGGCAGAGAGAGAGAGGGAGAGCCAAGAATCCCAAGCAGGCCCCATGCCATCAGTGCACACCACTGTGAGGTCATGACCTGAGCCAAAATCAAGAGTTGGATGCCTACCCAACTGAGCCACCCAGGCGCCCCGAAGCTTGGCATTTTTAGGAGCGTGAAACTATTTTGTGTGATACTGAAATGGTGGGTACATCACATTATGCATTTATAAAAAGCCACAGAACTGTACAATACAGAGTGAGTCTTAATGTGAAGCATAGATTCTAATTAATAATGTTTACTCTTGGTCATCAGTTGTAACAAAGGTACCATACTCCTGCAAGATGGTAATAATAAGGGAAAATATGTGTGGAGGGACAGGAAGTATATGGGAACTTTCCTTTCTTTTTGTGTAACTTTCTGTAAGCATAAAACTGCTCGTGAAAAATAAAATCTATTAAAAAAGAGAATTGGCTGAAAGTTGGAATATTATCTAATGAAACATCTATAACCATGACCTAATGATAACTAATCAGATACACCTTGACTGAAGCTATGGCATAAAAGGATTCTGTATGTTTTGGAAGAAAGGCTAAAACCAAATAAGAGATAACTACTACAGTTTCCCTCCAACTCTAAAGAAATGCCACCCGGAAACTATTAGAAACATCCACTCAAGGTGCTTATGTGACCGTCTCCCCGGCAGTCACTGATGAGCTTCTCACCACTCTCCTCCAGTCTCTATGCTGTGGCTTTGTAATGTGTCAGCTGAACGAACTGTATCTTGGAATTACCTTCTCTGTATGATTTCAATTAGGATGGACCCATAGAGAGCCTTGGGCAAGATTTGGTGGGCAGAAGTGAAGCAGCTGCCGTTTTGTAGATCACACAGGTTGTCACTGGCTGGCTCTGCTGGGTCATCACGTTTGCACAGGGCAGCAGCCAGGCCAGCAATTGTTTCACCTTTTCCTGGATCTTCCTCCCAGCTTCTCAGCTCCTGGGCCAGGTGTGGGTTTATCTCCGTAATGAAGGATGGCAGCTGTTCCTGTGGACGTTCACACCACCAAGGGCAGAGGCCCCCTTGTCGAGTTTCTCCCCACTTTATGTCTGTCTTCCTTTCCTAACTGCCTGCCCTGTGCACTTCAAGTGCCAGCATCAGACCCTAAGACCACAATGTTAGGGACTGCTTCATAACTCCAATTGCATAAGGTTAAATCCCAGTTCATCTGCCTATCTATCCGTCCATCTATCCATCCCCCCAGTGGGTCAGCTTCTCTGGTGGAACCCTGATACACTCTGTAAGCAGAGACTCTGGATGCCTGTGGAATTGCTGTTACCTCAAGCTGTCGTTCACGGAGGAAGTTGCAGTGGCTTTCCTCTTCCTCTCTTACACAAGAAGAGGATGTTTTTGTCTCCACCCTCCAAAAGGCTGATACAAAAAGGTGAGATTGGCATCTTACGGAAGAAATATAAGTCCCCTCTGTACCCCTACTGTGTTCGGTCTGTTCAATATACTTGGCAAAATAATTATCATCACCTGTATTCTGCTCCTGGTCCCTGTTTGACAAGCTTCAAGCTTTCACATCAGTGTCTGTAATTTGCTGCTGTATTACAAGGTGTTCAAAGACCAGCTTTCTCCAGGGGCTTGTTAGAAATACAGAATCCCTTGCCCCTCCACTCCTGGACTTACTGAATCAAAACATGCATTAAATTTTTTTAATAAAATTTTTTTTAATGTTTATTTTTGAGAGAGAGAGCGAGAAAGCGCACATGAGCTGGGGAGGGGCAGAGAGAGAAGGGTACAGAGGGTCCAAAGCAGGCTCTTTGCTGACAGCCGAGAGCCCGATGCGGGGCTCGAGATCATGACCTGAGCCAAAGTTGGACGCTTAACCAACCAAGCCACCCAGGCGCCCCCTAAACATGCATTTTGATCAAATCTATCAGTGATTTGTATGCATATTAAAGCTTAAGAAGTGTCATCTATAGGACACTACTTTTGGGGGATAAAACCTTCTTTAGTAGCGTTAATACCCAGAGATGGATTCTTATCATTTGCCTCTTGGACATAGTGTTTTAAAATTTGTGATCAACATCTGGCACATTTTAGACTAGCCTGTCTCTAATTTCCTACTAACAATTGACCTTTTATGACCATGTCAACTGAAACATCAACTGGACCAGGTGAGAGACCCAAAAGGTGAGTCTTGGAAGATGAAGAGCTGGAAAGATTTGGCAGAAGTCACTAAGGACTACTACACGCCCAAACGCAACAACTCTACACCATCAAGTGTGTCCACATCCATTGAGTAAAAGTACAAAATACACATAGAATTTGCTTACGGCAACATGAGTTTGGTGGTTTCTTTCAGGGATGGAGGGAGGGAAGAAGAGAACAGAGGAGAAGGGGGAGGCATTTAATTTGTACATACAACATTTAATTTTCAGAAAGGAGATCCGGTGCAAGTATAGGAAAATGTTTACATCTGCCAAATGTGGATGTCACATGGGGGCTAGACTTGTTCTTCA